ATCTGAAAAAACATTTTTTTGATAATTTTGATATAAGTTCGTACTTTCTCACATGGCACTTTATGTTAAGTATCATTTTATATGACAAGAATAAGTGAAATATTTCAGAATATATATATATATATATATATATATATATATATATATCTTGGACTATCCATCATTTGAATGGCTGAAGGGATATCGCTTCAGCATGATATATGACCCAATTATCTATTTATGGGTTTTGAATGAAAATAAGCAGGAAAAATATTCGAGCAGTCAGAAACACATTTTGGTAAATTGAAAAACCTGTAGGATTTAAAATGAAAACTAATATTTTCAGATGATTGATTCAGATCAATATGATTTTTTCAATCAATATTGTATTGTAATTGTATTCTTCCAATTTTTGTTTTCGAAAATTCTTCTAATCTGATATTAATAAAAAACACGAATTGACGTTTTCTATTAAATAATTAAAGTAATATAATACATTTACATGAAATATATTTTTAAAGTAGCTACATTAAATTTATTTTTTATCAACAGTTGAGGGCTAGAGGCGTTTTGTAATAGCACTTTTAAAAAAATGATTTTAAAATAATTCAAAATTTTCAAAAATATTGAAAAAAATTCTTGAAGGTATTTAGGGAGGGTTGATACAAGAGTTACTTAGGCATATATGATTTTCGAATTTTAGGGATCACAATAAGTTACTTTTCTGAAAAACTATATCTTTAAAATGCTTTCTTATGTGCCGTGCAGTGATCTAAATATTAGGGTTAAATTTTAAAAAACCGCTTAGAAAAGTTCCCAGAGGGTCGCATTTTCCAAAAATGCATGGTCAAGATGGATTTGTTCAATGTTTAAACCTTATTTTTGGGTCAATGCACGGAACATAAGAATTCATGTTAAATGTATGGTTTCTTCAGCAAAGTATCTTATTTTGATCCATATAATCAAAAAACCGTATGTGCCTAAGCGACTTTTTTCATTGTTATTAATTGTCGAATAGTTATTGATTACTCAGATCAACAAAAGAAAGTTGTCTGTATTGGATATATCGTATATGGGTAGAGTAAAGGTAAAGGTAAAGGTAAAGCACCGTATATGGGCAAAAAAAAAATTTAATAAGTGAAAAGAAAATAATTTAATAAGTGAATTTTATAAATTATAATTAAATTTTTTTTTATTAAATGTTCCTGTTATTGTAATGAATATACATATATGTGCACAAAATGGGTTTTGTAATAATTTTTGTTCCTTTCCTTTTCGAAAATTTTTGGCAAAAAATATTAGCACAACACCACTGGATATATGTTTAATAATCACTATAATCTACAAAAAAAAAATTAATAGATCATTTAAGTGAATAATCAATTTATTTAAGTTGAAAACGGCCAGGAAACGATATAAATTATAAAATTTTTAGATTATCATGCAGACAGAGGAATTAGAGTGAAGCGGAGCTTAAAATTCCACCGGTACAAAATTGCAAGTTATTTTTAACAGCAACTATTTATTACTTCTCCCCGTCATTACGAATTGAATGTTTTTTTAATCATTTCAATCGCATACTCCATGCTCTCAAAAACTAAATTTTCATATTCTGCACTTTTTGCTTCGCATCTCCAAAACGGCTGAACCTATATTTGCCAAAAACTAATCAGCACGTCTCCTTATCAATAAGGATCGAATGCATTTTGAATCATTCAAATCGGTTAATTCGTGCTCCCAAAATCGTCGACAAAAAATTGTAACCATACACACACGTACATCCATTTTTCCTAATTTATGCCAAAATGTTCAGAAAACAGCAATAGTCCAGTGTGAGACAGTGAATACTTGTATTTTGCACCCTAAACATTGTCTCAAGACCTACATATGGTAGGGTGTACACAACATATGTAGGTTTTGAGACAACTTATAGGGTGCAAAATACAAGTATTTACAGACTTGCAGCTGGGTATTCAGAATTTCAAGATAAACTTACTAAAATGACTGGACTATATATAAAGATATGCAAAAATGTTCAATTCCAATTTTTTGACGATTACAATAACTCACCCTACGGAAAGTTAAAAAATTCATAATTTTCCAAAAATCAATATCAAAATTCCAATAATTCTATACCATTAATTACCATTGAGCCCAGTGTACCCAGCCATAGACTATATTAATGACAACGGAAACCGTCCGCTCACCAGTTATAACGTTTCCGTTATTCCGTTAGCCCGGAGGCTTTCTATTTCCGCAGGCCAGTAGTACTACTAGTGCGTAAATGCCATTTACGAGTCCGGGGATCCGGCAGGCCATAAATTCACCTAAATGGTAACAGAGATTTCGATCAAGGCCGATCCGATGGAAAAAGTGCATGGGAAATATGAGAATATGGAAAGTAAGTGCTTTTTTTAGCGATGTCTAGTTTCGGATTTCCTGACTTGTGTGAGAAATTTTAAATGGTACAGTTTTTATAAAATTTGTTGGTATGTAAGTAAAAATATAAATGTAGGTATATATATATATGAAAATATAATTAGTGGTGTATGGCATCGTGCCTTGAGGCAAATTGCTAGTACTGCGTATTTTTTTTTTCTTATTTAAGAAAAATAATGAAAAAATATTTTTTTCCCAAAAGCAATCGTTTCAACAGAAGTAGAAAGTTTTTTGAATCATTCATATCGGATGCACAGTTCTCTCAAAAACTGTCATCTGTTTGCATATTTAGCACCGTATCTCCAAAAACGGGTAGACCTGCCTTTGGCAAAAGTTAATCACCACTTCTCCTTATCATTACGAATTGAATATTTTTTAGATCATTCAAATCGGATACACCGTTCTCGCAAAAACTCGATTTCTATTTTCTGCACTCTTTACTCCGAAACAGTTGGACCTGCCTTTGTCAAAAACATATCAGAACACCTCCCTATCAATTGGAATCGAATATTTTCTGAACCAATCAAATCGGTTGATCCGTGCGCCAAAACATTTGGACGAAAATTTGTATCCATACACACATATACACACAAACATATCCAATTTATTCAAGGTATGCCAAAATGTTCAGAACCCTTCAAAAATATGTATGTTTGGACAATTACAATATATTACCCTATGGGAAGATAAAAATATAATAAATATCATTATTTTTTTTAAATTCATTTCCAAATCCATACGTTTCGACTATAAACCTAGTCATCATTCAGTAGAAATCAAATTTACGAGTAAGCCTTTAGGCAAGTTGTACAAACTTTCCAAATCGTGCAACTTGCCTAATTTATTAAAATTGATTATGAAAGAACCATTTATAATCAACTTAATTACCAAGAATAGAATTTCAGCTATTTAGATAAAATTTTCAAATGTTTATTTCTAAAATAAAATGTTTGTTTTCACTAAAAAATTACCACTATGATTTCCAATAGATATTTTTAAAATATGTGTAATTGTGATTAATTTTTTTTTCAACAAATTTTATTTAATCTGTTTTATGTTCTAAAGAGGTATTTTATCAAGGTGTGGCTTCAACTGTAATCAGTAGCTGCAAAACGTGGAACGTATATAAATATCCAGCTCAGATTCTGATTAGATTCCCATAGGGGTATCTGGTCGAGAGGCATTAATTTTATGCGATTTTTAAAAAGCCGATAAAATAAGGGAAAAAATGCTTTTGCTATACTTTTTGATATTAGTTATTAATTGATGTTTTGAGAATGTAGACAAATAATAAAAATTAGAAATATTTACAAGGTTCTAATTCAAGAAGGTGATAAAGTGGGATCTCTCAAAAAATTGGAATCTGATCATATCAATGATTTCAAGTCCTTCAAATAATCCGAAAATAAGTATTATTAATCTATAATGATATTGTCATTGTATGAACTAAAGACAAGTTAAAAACATATTTTTTTACAAACTGGCGATTGTTAGAAAAAAAATTAAATTCTTATTTTGATATTCTCGAACTTTTTAAAAATGGTTAAAATCGGATTTCGTGAATAAGAGTAGTTCATACCAAAGAGAAGATCATAAGGAAGACTTTGCAAAAATTTTATCTAAACAGATCCAGTACAAGTTGAGAAATCGTAGGTATCGTATCTCGAAAACAGTTTTAAAAAAGTGCGTTTAAAATTTACTCTAGTAAGGAAGCAAAGGAGGATTATTGTGGTCAATCTGCTATATCTCCGAAAATAATGTGAATTTTACAAAATACTCTTATATACATATTCTTGAATAGTTGAACTTCAAATTTACAGAAAAAAACAATGTCGATTTTTTTTAATTTTAGACCAAAATATTCTCTTAAGAGCACTGCGGGATTTTAACAAATTTTTATAATTGAACCGCTTATTGTAGGCTTATAATATTTTAGTATGTTATTTCAGGCTACTAAATCTATCTTTACATAAAGTTTCACCAAAATTGCCAAAAAAATAGTTTTGATCATTTCATTATGACAATCAATATGAATCCCAACCTGCATATATATAGACCAATTTTTTGAATTTTTAAACTCCATTCAAAATTGAGGTATAAAACGTGGACAAAAAATTTTACACTAATTACCAAGAAACGGCTTGGCCGATCGTCGATAAAACACCGTCAAATTTTTTTTAAATGCTTTTAAAGTTTTTAAATCGATCTAGCCGTTTTTAGGAAAACGTTCACCAAGGGTTACAAATCAGTTCACATATAAACACACATATAGTTTTTTTCAAATTTCGTCTCATTCTATTCAGAATGACTGGAAACATTGAGAAATCACAATATTAGCAAATCGGATTTTTTTCGAGAACACAAACTTCTTCGACAAGTTAGTTAACATTAAAAAAGCAATAGAAATAATTTGTATAACATTCTAGAAAGAGGTAGAGAGGTCAAAATTTTTTTTGGAATGTGCACAACATTTTTTATTTTGTTAAAAATTAGTATAAGTATAAATTTTTGTAGCATTATGAAATCTACATTTTTCACCAATTTTGCATAATATTTAAAAATAATTTTGTTTTATCACTAACCTCCCAAATCAGCCTGAAGTCGTGTTGTTCCACTCTCAACAATTCGCACGTCGTCCTGGTGGTGACAGTACTCTCCCGAGGAAGATCGTGCAGAATCGACTCTCCGAAAGTGGCCCCTACACCAAGACTGCATAGTGTCACTGGTATCTGAAATAAAAGAAACAATTGTCAATAGACTATAGAACATATATACCAAGTTTAATCGATAAATTCATGTCGAGTCGTGATAAATTTACAACCAAAGATTTAATTTCAGATTTACCTTCGCTCTCGGTTTGAGATGATAAACCCCTTTCTGGGGCCACATAACCAACTGGCAGTTTAGCTAAGTAATTATTTCCAACTTGACATCGCAACAATGTATCCTTTTGCAAGATAACATAACTTCTTTATAAAACTTTACTTTACTAAACTTATAAAATGTTGCACGATAATAAACTTCACCTCGTGTCTTTTACTTTGTTCACAATCGTAATTACTTTTCACAAGATATCATTTCTCTGGTGTATTTCGTAAAGTTTTCTCAATCTATTTTAGTTTTATAAAGGTAATTTAATTCTGTCGTACAAAGGAAAAGAAAACTGTTTTAGAACTGACAATTTAGAATACAATTTCTTATTAGATTCTCATACACATTCCCCAACCATTTTTTCAGAACAATGTTTTATGTGAAGCTATTAAAAAAAAACAGAATCAAATAACTTATTCCAAAATATATATTTATCCTCTAGATGGAAAAATCTAGAGTACACAATTTTTCCCTCATCTTCATCAGCTTATTATAAAACTCCTATATCTTTTATCATTTACTCCAACAATGTAAATCATAATGGAAAAGTTGAATAGTTCAGTAGAGCTTTTGTGTAACTTTTAGATTAATTTTACTATAATGGGAAAGCTCTTTTGATATCATTAGTTGAAGGGCACTTATATGATGTATAAGGGCTTTGGAGCAGATTAAAATTGAATGATGTATGAGGTCAAATGGGTTATAGGTCAAAGATGGAAAAAATTTAATGGAAAGTCAAAAGACAAAAGCTAATATAAAATTTTAAATTATCATTATTTGTACCAATAAATATTTTTATTCAAAGTACAAAAAACATCTAACAATATTAATATCAAATTGAATTTAATATTGATAATTAAATTTCAATTAATTTACAATTTATGATTGGTTCCATAAAGTTTAGGAACCATCACCAGGTGTTTTAATATTTTTATTTTCTATATATTCAAGTAAGTGATGCACTTTAATAATAATAAGTTTTAGTATCAAAATTAGAATTTCTTCCTTAAATATTGAAATAAATTATTCAGTTTGTACAACTACTGAACAACTTAATATTTTTTTTTTAATTTTTTATTGAAGTCTTCCTTGCAAATGTAAGTACATATTTATTTGTTTTTATTAATTTTATAATGTTATATAATTAGAAGTAGTTTATTGGTTCATCATTAAGAACTTTTTTAATTCAAGCATTTTCAGAAATTATATATAATATATTAAGTTTAAATTAATCTTATTTCTTTCGTTTCTCGTGAAAATTTATTCTAATTAGTTTGAAAATAAAAGTTCTACGAAAAAATTCATAAAATGTAATGACATAAATAAATTTATTTGTTTTGTGTGCAAATTTTATTATTGATTTTTATTCAAGTATTCAGTATTAAGTTTTATTTTTTTTTTTGTTTCTTGTGAATTTTAGAAAGCTTTTAATATTATAAATTTGGTCTTTAGCTATTTTTGATTTTTTTATTTAATTTGTTTTTTCTCTAAAAAGATTCAAATTATTGCCAATATTAAAAAGTTATTTAAAAAAATAATTACAGTGTTACAAATATAGCAAAAATCAAGTATTAAATTTATTATTACTACTTGAAGTTTTAAGTATCTGTTCTGTGAGAAATAATAAAAAAATAATTTAAATTGCATTATTTTCAAATAAATAATATGATATAATAAATAATATATTATTATTTTATCAATTTATAAAATTTTGACTTATTATTTCTTAAAAATTGATGTAGGGTCAATTATTTAACATATATATTTATAATTTTTTATTTCTGCTTGAAGTTATTTTAATTAAATTAATATATAAGAAAATATTTTCACTGGGAAGAGTTTACAAAAAATAATTAATGATTTGAAATTTACTATGAAAATCTATCATAAAAAATGTAATGACGCGTTGATTTTTTAATTTTATTTGAAGATTAAAATCAAATTAAAAATTATATTTTAGCTTTTTATATTTTATTAATATTTTAAAATAAAAATATTGATTTAGCATATTATATAATTTTATATAGAATTATATTTTTTTACTTAAAATAAAACTCCAGTTAGTGTTTATTTTGGGTTTAGGATTAGATCCTAGTTTATGAACTAATTTTAGTTATTTTAATAACATTTATGACACAAAAATAGACAGAAACAGTATAAAGCAAATAATACATTTGGAATAATTTAAACTTGCAATTTATTTTAAGCGGATTTGTCTGCAAACTTTATGTACAGAATAGTCGTGGGTTAATCTCTTAGCAAAATATAAATTTGTTACATTCGTGTTTGGTTTAAACCCAATTCTAAAATAAATCTAATGTAAATCTAATATAAATCTTGGAAATTATTAATTTAAATAAATGACAGCATTAAAACTTGAATTTGTAAAAATAGTTATGAATTTTTATTAATATCTGCATTGCCATAAATATAATAAATTATCTACTATCTATTAATATTTCGAAGCATCAGATAATCCCTAGATGCATTAGATTTACATCTTTTTAATATTAGATAATATCTTATAAACATTTTCCATTTATCTTCTAAAGCCATCAAGGTAACATTTTCCCGACAAGATCTTGTAACACGACTTAAATTGAAAAATAATTCATGTTATCCTGAGTGATGCTAGAAACGAAATTGTTAAGAAAATTCCGAGGAAAACTCGTCGGATTAGCTGTCTTGCATTTTCCGAAGTAGACGAGAATTCTGTCTTGTGGAATTAGTTTCGAGACAAGATAGGATTTAAGATATTGATTTAAAATTAACTCGTGAAAAGGACTAATTATGCTGGTTAATGATACAATTTGGTATAGAACAAAATTTAAATAATATTCATGACTTAAGTCTAAGATCTATGATAGTATCGCAAGATTACTAATTAATTTAGATTTATTTTCTATTAAAATTAATAATTTCTCAATATATATATATATATATATATATATATATATATATATATATATATCTTATAAACCAACTTTCGGAAGGTGTTAATGTTTTCACCAGAATATACGATTTGCAAATTTTATGTATTTTCAATGAGTAGATAGTAAAGAATAGAAAAAGAAGTATGAAGATAAGTTGAAAAGTATATACGATAAGAAGAATTAAGAATGAAGAAGAAAAAGAAAAATGAAGAAAAAAGAATGAATGATGAAGAAAGATGAATAACAAACAAAGAAGAAAGATGAGAAAATAAGAAGGAAGATAAATTGAAAAGTATATACGATAAGAAGAATTAAGAATGAAGAAACAAGAATAAATGATAAATAAAGATAAATGAAGAACGAATAAGAAAGATGAAGAAATAAAAAGGAAGGTAAGTTTAAAAGTATATACGATAAGAAGAATTAAGAATGAAGAAACAAGAATAAATGATAAAAAAAGATAAATGAAGAACGAAGAAGAAAGATGAAGAAATAAGAAGGAAGGTAAGTTTAAAAGTATATACGATAAGAAGAATTAAGAATGAAGAAGAAAGATGAAGAAAGAAGGATGAATTATGAAAAAAGATAAATGAACATCGAAGAAGAAAGATGAAAAAATAAGAAGGAATATAAGTTGAAAAGTATATACGATAAAAAGAAGAGGATTTAAACTAAAGAAGATAGTATAGAATATAAATGCATAGAAGTAATGTGGTAGATGGCTGGGCAAAAAAATATTATAGTAATTTTTTGCATATATATTAACTTGAATATATAAGAAAACAATTTCTTTAAGCCATATTGAAAGTCTCAAAAAAACTATTTTATGCAGAAGAACTGAAGACAAAGGTTTGTGAATCCCTGGTATATATATATATATATATATATATATATATATATATATATTTTTACCTTTGATAACGTTAAGCACCTGTCAATGTCAGTTTTAATAAGACCACTAAGGTTTTCTAATGAAGGTTAATGGCATAAACAGTAAAAATAATCTCAGCAATTATTATTTGCATATTAAAAATGAGTCACTTTTTTTAATTTTTAAAGCTTAGGATTTATAAAAACAAACAATAAATCTACTTGACTATAATAATTTTCTTGTTATTGATATTTATTTGCACATACAAGTCAATATATTCACTTATTATTATTATTGACTATTCATTTTTATTAAAAGTTTTGAGAAAATGAACTAGGATTTATTACTATTTCACTCTTGATATAATACCAGTATTATTTTTTAGCATTATTTTAAATAAATTATATATTTACTATTTTGTTATATATTAACTATATGTTTCAGATATTTTTATGTCGATTTTTTATATTTAATGATTAATTACTTTGATTTTTACTAAGCTTGTTCCTCAAAGTTACAATAAAATGAAATATTATTTTAATAATGTCTTGTTATAAATTCTAAATTTTAAAAATAGTGTGTCCATATAATTGTCAAATTACCAATATATTCATTTTATTGTTGGTAAAGATGTTCTAGCAGAATAATTCATACGATTTAATTAAAATATTAGTTTATCAGAAATTTGGTCAAGGACGTTGACTATTTATAAAGACCATAAGATTTTTCTTCTAAAAATGCGTTTTATATAATTTTATTTACTTTCTTATCAAAATATTGATAAGACGAATTAGAATTTACGCAATTGCTGATAAGGTTGCGAGATTCTTGTATGGAAAAATGATGAAATTTATATAAACTAGGTATAAGTGGCATTTTGACTCAATTTTGGTAATACATTTTTACAATTAAAAACGCACAAAAATCCTTATGAAGCTCTCATTGTATTTCAATACATGGTTTTAAAAATTTTAAGTAGTTTTACGAAAATCCATTTTTCAAATAAGCTAATTTCTGGGAAATAAATGTCAAGTTTTGGGCACTAATATGTCAATTTTTGTATACATTACTCTTTCCAATTTTAGAGTCAAGCGATTCAGAATGACTTGAAGCATCCAAGACACAAAATAAGCAAATCTAAGTTTCTAAATATTCTTTAGGGAATTCAATGATAACTATTACGGAATATTAGAAATTAATTCAGTGTAGTTAAATTTGTATTATTCATTAA